GTATATTCAAACCAAGAGCTTTCTATGTATAGAGTTGGGACTCTCTTTTGTTGTAACCAAGTTAATATTTGAAAAGAGGTAAGTCCGTAGGGCACTTACCTTGTTATTTATAGTTAGAATTACATGTAATATCCTTGTAAAGCAGACTCTGATGAATAAAAAGTTAATATTTCTCCTATGCTTATGAATCTTGTGAATGGTTGACTTACACTGTATTTTGAAGACGTTACAGATAGCGAGAGAATCGATTGGTGTTCTAGATGAGAGAGATAAAACGAAAGAGCGAGACGAGAGGAGATGAGAGGTAATGGGATCGTTGATGGGGTAGTGGTCGGATCGTTAGTGGTCGAGTAATTGATGGTGTGGTGGTCAGATTGTTGGCGATGGCAATGTAGTGATCGTCAACGATATGAAGAGTGGACAATTGTTTGAAAGGAGAGAGAAAGTTTGCTTTTGTAAAAAATGAGAAAGAGAGAGAAGAAAAGACGAGGGTTTTGTTGTGCGTGAAACACACGTACAACGTGTAACAACTAGAATTTTAGTTTTGTCTTGCCATGTCATTTAGCTGGTTCAGGAGAGAAATTGTGTGAATATAATATAAGTGCATTTTTTTACAATACATATATTTTAAGAAAAATGCTTCCTACCCCCAGCTGGGGGTGACACCCAGTGAGGTGTCAGCTGGGGGTTGGTCCGAAAAAAACAATTTTTCTTTCTTTTTTTTTTTTTTTGATTTCCGACCAGTGGGGGCGCGCCACGTCACTGGAGGCGCGACCCCCACTGAGTGTATGAAGCAAGGTTGATATTTTAATAAAATAAAAACAAGATAACCATGAAATCTTAAAAACAACTTTTCCTCTCCTTTTCCCTCTTAATTTCCATCGATGCAAGATATGACAATTTAAAAGTTAAAAAATTAAAATTAAAAACTCAAAAATATCATTTCCCCAATGACTTAATAATTAACTTTTTAAAAAAATATACGATAAATAAAAATTGTATTAAATATTTTGATATATTCACTCAAAACTCTTTATAGAACAATACAACTCTCCAAATTTTTTAAGACATGGGGCAATAACTATTATGTGCTCGATGGAGTCTATTTTAAGTCTTACTCTAATAATTTGTTTATTTTTAAAGATATATTTAGTAATATATATGCGTAGTTGATGGAACATCAATCAATCAGTGTGTTTGTATGAGTTTTTTGAATTAATGAAAATTAAATTTTTTGTTTTTTGTTTTGTTTTTAATAAATATTTTTAAAATTTTAAATATTTTTTTATTTTTTTATATGCATCTTACTTAGATATGTCTAAAAAGTAAAATATTTGTGAAAAAATATTTTAAAAAATTAATAAATACATAAAAATACAAAAAATATATTGAATTTTCATTTTTTTGGTATTTTTGATATTTAGTGAATTTTTAAAAGATTTTTTTCACAAAAATTATACTTTTTAAGTGTATTTATGTTAGGCGTGTCTAAAAATTAAAAAAATTGCTTAAAATATTAAAAAATTCAGTAAAAATAAAAAAATTCAGAAAACAAGAAAATAAAATTTTTCGAAAAGTATTTTTAAAAAACTCAAATCAAACAAAGTGAATAATTTTTTCATGAAAAAACTATCAATATTTGATAATCTAGGTTTTTATAAAGTATAATCTATTTAATATATTGTAAAACTAAAACAATTTAAATTATATATCAAATTCAAAATTAATCCCAATACAAATGGCGTATGATAATCACTCCAATCCTATCTTTATAAAACGGTCTAATCATAGAGGGGGGTTAATCTCTAATGATAGATCCTATAAGAGGCCGATGGCTCAGAGGTCACCCTTAGGTGATTTGTATGTAATAAAATACTTAGCTATGTAACGATAAGTCATGAACTCGCACATAAATAGCTATTTGAACCTACACTTCTGACACTAGATATAATTCACTCATGCCTAAAAAATTTATCCTATCAATTATATGTGTTATCGTCTGTGGAATTGACCCTGAAAAAAAAAGTAAAACATGAGACCTTCAAAAATCTTACTAGAGCGCTACACCCGCTTGAGTTCACAAATTCTATCTATCTCCCTCTAAAAAGTTGTAAAAAAAAAAATAAAAAAAAAAAGCACGAACATCGTTTTACATAGTGGTGTTTGGCAAGTGGGTTGGGGCTAAAATAGCCACAAAAGACAAAACAGGCTATTTTAACCATAACAAACAAAACATCACATCTAACCCATAATCATTACACTTTTCTCTCACAAAAAAAGTCAAAAAAGCCAAAAAGCCCTTCCCAAACCAAGCTTTTTAGCCCAGGCTAAAATAGCCAAAAAAAGCCAAAAAGCCAAAAAGCCAACCCACTTCCCAAACGGAGGCTAAAGGGGAAATTGTACCCACTGAGTGCTTGTTTTTATGGTCCCACAAAGCCACACCATCATCGGCATTCAACAAGAAGAAGAAGAAGAAGAAGAAACGGCTGGCTAATGGTGCAATTTAGGCCTCGTTTGAAATAAATTATTTTAGTAATGTTTTAAGTCTTTTTTAAAAAAATAAAAAGAATAATATGATAATTTATAATAATTTTTTTAATTTTTTAATTAAAATTAAAAGTTGTCAAATGAGATCTTACAGTCTAGAGTGTGGTTCAAGTCTTGGCGTGAGATTTGTTAAATTTAGGTAGAACACTTTCACACGTAAGTTCTGAAATTATTTTGAAATTAATTAAGACTTTTACGTAAGTTTTGAAATTATTTTGAAATTAATTAAGGTGCATATAAATTAACAAGAATATCTAATCATAAAAAAAAGAATACCTAGTCCTAAAAAAAAAAAATTCAGCAAAAATAAATTTTTGAAGGAAATACTATAGTACACATCACTCATAAATAAAAATTTTATCCTATCAATTATATGTATTATCGTATGTGGAATTGACCCTGAAAAAAAAAGTAAAACATGAGACTAGGGGTGGGCGCGGGTCGGTTGCGGCCACGGAACCTCCAATCCGCCATCCGTCCGCCAGATTGGCGGATTGAAGAAAATCAATCCGCATCCGTCCGCCAATCCGGCGGATGTGGATTGAGCGGATTGGCGGTTTGGCGGATGGATGCGAATCGGTTTGGCGGTTTAAAATTTTATAAATTTTCAACATAATTCAACTTGTGCACTTCCTCAAAAAAAAAAAAAGTATTACAGTCAATGACTTAAAAAAATATTACAATCACTGTATGCCTTATCCAAAGAAAGAAAGTTTGAAACTTTAGAATATCACGATCACTGTATGCTTCATCCACATATTACAATTACAGCATGATTCATCCCTATAAAGTATTACAATCTGTGATTCTTAAAATATAATAACAATTCAAACCACCAAAACCATAAACAGAGCAGTAGTAGAGATTGAATGTCTCTATATTGTTACATCTACATATGTTTTTGAAAACAAAAACCAACCCACCAAAACCATGAACAGAGCAGTAGTAGAGATTGAATGTCTCTGTATTGTTACATCTACATATGTTTTTGAAAACAAAAACCAACCAGCATATATTATATTTTCTATTTATTATTTTTAGAGTTACATTTAAAAACTAAAATATATATATGAATAATACGTTTATTTTTTTCAATTCAAAAAATATATTCAAGTTGAAAACTTTTTCTCAACAGAATATTTAAACTCTTTTTCAATTGAAAACACAAATATAATATTTAAACAAATTAAAAATACAAAGTCTTATAAATTACTAGGGGTGCTCGCGATTTGGCGGTTTGGCGGTTCGGTTGCGGCCAAAAAATCTCAAATCCGCCATCCGTCCGCCAAATTGACGGATTTGAGAAAATCAATCCGCAACCGTCCGCTCGTCATCACGCATCCGTCCAAAATGCGGCGGATCGATTTGGTTCGATCGATTTTGACGGATCGATATATCCGCTGCTCACCCCTACATGAGACCTTCAAAAATCTTACTAGAGCGCTACACCCGCTTGAGTTCACAAATTCTATCTATCTCCCTCTAAAAAGTTGTAAAAAATAAAAATAAAAAAAAAAGCACGAACATCGTTTTACATTAAAGGGGAAATTGTACCCACTGAGTGCTTGTTTTTATGGTCCCACAAAGCCACACCATCATCGGCATTCAACAAGAAGAAGAAGAAGAAGAAACGGCTGGCTAATGGTGCAATTTAGGCCTCGTTTGAAATAAATTATTTTAGTAATGTTTTAAGTCTTTTTTAAAAAAATAAAAAGAATAATATGATAATTTATAATAATTTTTTTAATTTTTTAATTAAAATTAAAAGTTGTCAAATGAGATCTTACAGTCTAGAGTGTGGTTCAAGTCTTGGCGTGAGATTTGTTAAATTTAGGTAGAACACTTTCACACGTAAGTTCTGAAATTATTTTGAAATTAATTAAGACTTTTACGTAAGTTTTGAAATTATTTTGAAATTAATTAAGGTGCATATAAATTAACAAGAATATCTAATCATAAAAAAAAGAATACCTAGTCCTAAAAAAAAAAAATTCAGCAAAAATAAATTTTTGAAGGAAATACTATAGTACACATTTTTCATATTCACCTTATAACTTTTCTGAATTATAACACATAATAAAATATAATTAAAAATCTCATGAATCATAACTAAAATAATATCAAAATTAAAAAAAAAAATTAATCGTGACTAAAAAAAAGATAGTTAAAAATTTAGAGAGATTTTAAAAAGATAGTTAAAAATTAATTTTTTAATTGTTTTTGACTTTTTTTTTAAAACAATATGTAAAAAATGTGAAAATTAATATGATCTAAAATAAATTAAAAGTTAAGAGTTAATTTTTAACCCACTTCTTAAAAAAAATTTTGATAGAATATTTAAAATTCCTAAATTTTCATAAATAATTTTAAATGGATGCAAAGTTTCCTTCGACTCTTCCAAAATATTTATTTGGTTCCACTCTTCTCATAATATTAATTTTTAATTTTTCTATCTGAGAGTGTATATATAAAAAATAATAAACAAATTTAGTCCTATATACGCTCACTGGCTATGCCAACGCCGGTTAGCTCTGCCCGGCAATGCTTAACCGACGAGGCAGCGCGTGCTCTCGACGCCGCCGTCTCCGTCGCCCGCCGCCGCAGCCACGCTCAAACCACCTCCCTCCACGCCGTCTCCGCCCTACTCTCTCCTCCCTCCTCCACTCTCCGCGACGCATGCTCACGGGCTCCCAGCTCTGTCTACTCGCCACGCCTTCAATTCCGAGCCCTCGAGCTCTCCGTCGGTGTGTCTCTGGATCGTATTCCGACTTCCAAGGCCGACGACGATGATCCTCCTGTGGCGAACTCTCTCATGGCGGCGATCAAACGGTCACAAGCCAATCAGAGAAGACACCCCTACACGTTCCACCTGTACCAGCAGGTACAGAATCAAAGCCAATCGTCGGTTTCGTGTGTCAAGGTTGAGATGAAGCATTTCATATTATCGATTCTCGACGACCCGATTGTCAGCCGGGTTTTCGGAGAATCGGGTTTTCGGAGCTCCGACATCAAGCTCGCCATTCTTCGGCCTCCGCCCCTTTCGCGATCTCGTTGCCCTCCTCTGTTTCTTCGTAACTTGACCGATTCTGATTCGGATTCGAATCTGAATCGCCGTGGTTTCAATTTCCCTTTTATGGGTTTTTCTGGGTTTGAAAATGGAGACGGAAATTGTAGAAGAATCGGAGAGGTTTTGGCGAACAAAAAGGGGAAAAAGAACCCATTATTGATCGGAGTTTTTGCGAATGATGCGCTTGGTAGTTTCACAGAGTGTGTACAAAGAGGGAAAATTGGTGTATTACCAAGTGAAATTGATGGGTTGAGTGTAATTTGTGTTGAGAAGGAGATTTATGAGTTTCTTGCTAAAGGTGGGAGTGAGGAAATCATGGGTTTGAAGTTTAAAGAAGTGTGTGATTCAATGGAGCATTGTTCTCAGCCTGGTATTGTGATTAATATTGGAGAATTGAAGGTGTTGATTGCCGATGGCAATTCGGTTGATACTGTGAACTATGTGGTTTCACAATTGAGTGGTTTGTTGGAGGCTCATGGTGAGAAATTATGGTTGATTGGCGAAGTGGAGAGTTATGAGACATACATGAAGATTTTAGCTCAGTTTCCTTCCATAGAGAAAGATTGGGATTTGCATCTGTTACCCATCACTAGTTCAAAACCTTCAAGTGGAGGATTATATTCAAAACCCAGGTTTGTGACCCATCTTGTGTATATAATTTCTATTGTTTTAATGGTTGTTGATGTCATGAATTGAAAATAAATGGGCTACTGGGAAAAGGGATTGAAGCCTCAAATTTCTATTAACCCATTAGAAGCACATCGTCGCCAATATCTCCTTTCATCTTGCTAATTGAACATTGGTTTTGAAAGCATTCATTCCTTTGTGTTACTTGGCCTTCAATCTTAAGTTCCTAACTGCTCAATTATTTGTATTCTTTGACATCCTACATTTATCATTTATGAGGTAATAAATTTGATCGGCCTTTTTTTCTTGTATGAAATCAATTTTTATTTGTACTTAAAAATTGTTAAATCAGTCTTTCCTTCTCATACTCAAAATTCAATTAGGAAGTAATATAATGTACCAAAAACACTGTAACTTCTTGTTGAATAGACAACTTAGATGTTTTTCACTAGTATTTTAGTTTTCATTTTTGAAATTGTAGCATAGTCTTGTTATTGATTATTCATCATATAAACTATGTCCTATATAGAAGAGATTGTTTTTTTATAGGTTAAATTTAGATGGTATGTTTGACTCACCACTCAATGCCGAGTCCGCAATTTACATCTTTTAGGGCTCAAGCGTCTAGATGTAAAAACGGAGCTAGAAGTTTTGTGTTGCAACAAATTTTCTGTGGATAAACAAAAAAGCCAAAGGTTTTGAATTACAAAGTGGTCAGTGTACGTATGTGTATGGACTTCCTATGTAGCGAGCCACGTCATTGTCATGGGGTTGGCTCAAACCACCTCTTCACATCATAAGGCATTATTTAAACCTTGCCTTTGCTTCCCTTAGGCTGCCTCAATGCCTTTATATGGATTCTCCAGGCCATCGCTCTATGCCTTACCATGGCTTTGTCGCACCATCACTCTATGCCTCGGTATGGATTTGTTTTGCATTCACTTGGCGCTTCATCTCCTTCTTGCTTCACAAGCTGTATCTAGAATGGCACTCCAATGATATAACATCTGCCTACGCTGAAAGTAGGGCTTAGGGGCCATGGTTATCAAAATCCCAATCCGGATTGTAGGATGTTACGATTCTTCTTACGATTCTACGATCTCAGTTTGGCCAAACGATCCGGATCACACTAGGATCTTAAATTTAGTAAGATCTTAAAGGCATTACAATCCTAGTCATAAAATGATGTAGAATATCATACGATCCCGATTCTACTTCGATCCCAATCCCACCAATTTTTTTTGTTACTATTTATTTCTTATATATATATATATATATATATGTATATATATGTTTATCTATATTAAAAATTTGATTATAAACTCATTTTTCAAATGTCTTCTCTAATTTATGTTAACATAGAATATATATTATATCAAATTTATCATTTTTTTTAATCTTTTTAAATTATGTAATATAGTTTATCATTATCGATAATTTTTAATTTTATTTTGCATTAAAAGTAGGATCTTATGATTCTTTCTGATTCTACGATCCGATCCATTAGTCCCTCTCTACGATCTGACTTGGGATCCCGATTTTAACAATCTTTCTAGGGGCCCCTGAGGGATGTCTTCTACAACATAGGACATTCAAGCTTACCCATAAACTATATGCACGGTCATCATAGACTTGTGGTTTGACATTTAGAGGCTTAGCGTTGAGAGGTAGTCAAAGTTGCTTGATTCAACCCCTCGAGGTGGCTCCATTATACAGGAAGAGCAGATTTTGACCAAGACAGGTGATACCTTGTAAGGTGTATTGTACCTACTCGTTGTAGCTTCTTAACATGACCTCTGAGGTCAGAGTATTGGTGTAGCTGGGCGCGAAGGGATGAGCCACCTGTCCTTAGGCATAAGACATCAAGCAAGAGTGAGCTAACCTCCATGGCCCAATCCTCCTATAAAAGGTTTCCACCTTTGCATAAGGCTGTCTACTCATACACATAAGAACCATATTAACCACCTCCACCAAGCTCAAAGGCTTCTCCCTCAGGGCCGCTCTCTTTCTTCTTATCAGGCTACCTCAACTCTCACTCCCTCTACCTTCAGTGGTCCTGCACCATCCCGGTGCCTACCATAATTTTCAAAGGGCCCATGATTTACCCACGCCACCAACAATCATCCATATTAACATCTTTTTAACTTTGTAACTTGTATAGTCTTTTTACATTTGTAACTTGCTTTAATGGATGTACTTTTTTCAACTTTTGTGCAAGGATCAAAATTTGATTTTGGTGTATTGTTTTGTGCCTTTCCGCTACCATGGAAATGGAAATATTTCGTAAATGTTTTAAAAGAGACGGGGAGAATTTGAAAATACATAACATTCCATTGACTGGATCAAACACAAATGTTGGATCGGTTCACTTCCAAAAAATGTTTTGAAATACAAACTAAAACTCGTCTAAATGTATAAAAGCCTAATAATTGAACGAACAAATGTAAAATCAAAATATAAAAGTCTACTTAACAAATCGTCCCTTTATTAATAAATTATCAAATCAATTAACAGTTTTTAAGGATGTAAGAAATATGTTTCAATTAATAATTTAAGTAATTTTATTATTATATATGAAAGCAATTATAAATTTCATTTTTTTAATTAATTATGTTAAATAAAAAATTCTGACAAGGGATATTTATAATTCTTCAAATCACAGGGGGCAATCCGTACTTTAAGCAAATCTCAAGGGGTGTATTTATAATTTATCCAGAAAAGTACCATGAAAAGTGAAGTGTGGTTGAAATTTAATTGGTGTATTGTGAGGTCTATGTACAAAATGAATGTGAACCACAAGTACTTGAAATTGTTTTTTGGTTATGTAGTATTGCTGAAATATAAAAGCTAGTAAGAACGAAAAATTGTTTAGTATTGTCCTAAGAAGCACGGACACCTCTAAGAAGGTGATGTATCCGTGTTATGTCGGACACTGACACTCTTAGGACACGTGTCCAACACTTTTCAAAACATGTCCTATTTTTTAAATTTTTTTTAAAGATCCAGACACTCTTTGGACACTTTGAGGACACACGTGTCTATTGATTAGACACATGTGAAACTAATTATAAGTTTGAACAAAATAACTTAAGATACAATAATAAAACAATACCTATATAAATATACAAAATTATATATTTCATGCATGTCCCTCATGTGTCATGTCTTACATTTTTTAAAAATTAGCGTGTTGCGTGTCAATGTCGTGTCACGTGTCCATGTCCGTGTCCATGCTTCTTAGTTGTCAAATGAATTCATTTTATGAAGTTTAAGTGTACATGATTGTATAAGAGATTATGGAAGGAAAGGAATGCGAGACTTTCATCCAAATAATTATCGAGACTCCAAGACAATTGTAGCAGAAGTTATGATGTATGTTAGTGGCAGATAATACCTTCATACTGATGTGCAAAGTAACCAACCAAACATATGGCTGCAATAAGAATGGAAGTTCCCAAGAACTGTATTTGCTGCAGTTTGTTAGGGATTTGACTACATGGGTTTTTTATGCTGGTTTGCTATATGATGTTATCAGGTGTAATCTATTGTTAGTCTAGTGGCTTGTCTCCTCTTTCTTGTCTTTCTGTTCTGGTGCTTCTAATTCTTACTTGGACTCTTGGTGTATTGTGTTCAACTTGATCTACTGTTGGATGGCCCTCAACTTTCCTAGATGGTTCCCATCCTCGTATTGTCCTCAGATATGCCCCTTATACGATGTATATATATTCTGGTCTTTATATAAAATATCTTTCCCAAAAACAAAAAGTTTCTATAAGTGCATGAGGTTCCATTGAAATAAGACGAGGAAATTTACTAGAATAGTAATACTAATAGTATTCAATACTAAAATTATAATAAGAACTCTTCCTATACGAAAATAAGGCCCTTTATCTTCTTTTTCTTAAAAAAATATAAAATATTTATGAGAAAATTGCAATTTTGTGTCAACACAACTTATTGTTTCAGTATGTTTTGTTGTGTTTTGAGACATTTTCTTTCTTTTGGAAACATTGGGATTTCATTATTCTACTAGTGTTCCGTTCTAGTCTCTTAGGAAACAGAAATGCTCATTTGAGAATTCTCCAAGTGCGGGCCATAAATGAGATTCATTTCTCCAATTAGATCAGGAGGTTTAGCTTGTTCTCTCGATGTCAAAAACATTTTTCCAATCTGTTTATGTTGGGTGACCTGATTTTGCAGTTCTTTATGGTTTCTCTTGAAGTTTAGTGCTCCATAAAGGGATTCATTAAGGGGGTAACCAAACTAGGAATTTTACTGATCTGTGATCATTTCAAGTAGAGGTGGCGAATGGGTGTGTTTGGGCAGGTCAAAATAGGTTATACATTAAAAAAACCCCACCCAAATCCGCTCATTTAATAAATAGTTTTAAATAGGGGTAACCATTGGTTCAATGGTTACAACTTGGCCTAATAACCTTGAGGTTATGGGTTCAAATTTTGGTGCCACCACTTTGTGCATTATACCAAAGGTTAGGCCTCCCAAACACACAATAATGTGTATTAATTGGGCATTGTTTTTAAATGGATTTAGTTGAATTAGATATGGATTGAACAAATGAACCCGACCAAGTAATACATAGACTAACATGTATGATTTCTGAATTGTCTATATGTACTTCTACTGTAAATTGTATGTTATGTCACTTTTATTCACTGTAGTGGTTCCAAAATATGTGTACACTTTTAGGAATAAAAATATTTATAAATGTGAACACTCTAGCTTCTTACTTCTTATGTCCCTTAGAACTCATATTCTGTGCTCATGATGCCCTTACAGCTTGATGGGGTCATTTGTTCCACTTGGCGGTTTCTTTTCTACACCATCCGAGTTCAAGAATCTAGTAAGTAGCACAAATCAGCCCACACGTTGTGACCTCTGCAATGAGAAGTATGAGCAAGAAGCTTCAGTTATATTGAAGGGAGGATCGACCACTTCAGTTGCCGATCAGTACTCGGCAAGTTTGTCTTCTTGGTTGCAAATGACTGAATGTGATGCAAACAAGAGAGTGGATGTTATAGAGGTATGTACTACAAAGATTTAAATCATTGGGGTTGTTTGGTGCAGCTTATATGAATTGCTTATAGCTTCCTCTTTTTTTTTTCTTCTTCTGGAATGTTTGTGCCAGATCATTTAGTGTAACTTTTGCTTATAATTTATTTGCCAGAAATAGCTTAAATAAGCTAATTATTTTTTTTTTTTGGGGGGGGGGGGGGGGGGGGAGGGGTGTGTTTGGCTTCTATTTTCTGATTATCAACTTTTGGCCTACATGATGCTGCACCAAACAGGCCCATTGACCTTGTTTACTGCACATATAGACACACACACACATACGTGCATCGAGAGACTCACATGACACGACACTTGCACAATATTTCATTGTTTAAGTTGTTAAAATGTTTGGGTAAACATGTAAGCAGGCCAAAGATGATGAAACTGTATTGAATGCAAAACTTACGGGTCTACAGAGGAAATGGAATGATATCTGCCAGCGTCTTCATCCCACAAGGCCATTCCATCCTGATATTTCGCAGTCCAGGTTTCAAAGTCAACATGTAGAGGGTTTTCATTTTCTTGCAGATAGGAAGGAAAGTAGCAGTAAGAATTCATCGTCAAATGAAACTGAGTCGTCCAATCTAATTTCTTCCACTCTAATAGACTTACGAAAGGTTTCTCCCCTGAAACAAAAAACAGTATCCCCAGTGGCTTCTGAAGTTGAAAATGCAGATTTCCAACCCACGATACTCATAGAAGCTTCAAAGAGTCACCAGCCCAATCGCACATCACCATCTTCAGCTACTTCTTTGACCACAGATTTGGGATTAGGAACACTTTATGCAGTTTCTAGTCAAGAGCCCGGAAAACTTAAATTTGAGCATCACAAGAGTCGTCTTCACTACTCAGGTTCCACTACTGCTGAGTTTCATGGAGTCAGTGAGAACGCTTCAAATCATATTGCTTCGCCTTCGTCGTGCTCTGGTCCTGAGTTGGGAAGGCAAGTGAATCCAAAAGATTTCAAGTCCCTTTGGAGAGCACTAACTGAAAAGGTTGGCAGGCAAAGTGAAGCCATTTGTACTATTAGTCAAACTATATCCCGTTGCAGGACCGGACATGGAAGACTTTGTGGCTCAAATCACAAAGGAGACATTTGGCTCAGCTTTGTTGGACATGACAAGGTGGGAAAGAAGAGAATCGCTGCAGCACTTGCTGAGATAATGTTTGGCCGCAGGGAAAGTTTAATCTCTGTGGATCTAAGCTCTGTAGATGGAATGAGCTGTTCAAACTCCATCTTCGACTGCCAAGATTTAAATAGTTATGATGTAAAGTTTAGGGGAAAGACAGTCATTGATTATATTGCTGAGGAGCTGAGTAGGAAACCTCGTTCAGTTGTGCTTCTTGAAAATGTAGATAAGGCTGATTTACCGGCTCAAGATAGCTTGTCTCGGGCTATTAGAACTGGTAAATTTCCTGATTCACGTGGGAGAGAAATCAGCATCAACAATGCCATCTTTGTGATTACTTCAAATACCACAAAGGTTAATAGAGAAAACATTTCTGAGAAAGAACATGTTGAATTTTCTGAGGAAAGAGTATTGGGAGCCAAAGGCTGGCAAATGCAAATTTTAGTTGGATGTGTTGATGATGCCACTAGAACCAATGGGATGAGCGTATCGGTTATGTCAAGGAAAGAAAACTCAAAACCAATATCCAGGAACAAAAGGAAGCTACTTGACATGAATGACTCCTTGGAAATGCCTAAACATGCACACAAAGCATCAAAATTGTCCCTGGATTTGAATCTGCCTGTGGAGGAGTCTGAAGAGAATAATTATGGAAACTGTGATGGTGATTCCAACTTGGAAAACCTGGAAGTTTGGTTGGAAGATTTATTCGGTCAAGTGGATGAGACAGTGGTCTTCGAGCCCTTGGACTTTAATGCACTTGCAGATAAAGTGCTGATGGAAATAGATCGAAGCTTCAAGAAGACAGTAGGGTCTGAGGCTTTGTTGGAGATTGATGAAGAAGCCATGGTCGGAATACTTGCAGCTGGTTGGTTATCGGACAATAAGAGAGCAGTTGAGGACTGGATTGAGCAGGTTCTCAGCAGGAGCTTTGCAGAAGCTCAGCAGAGGTACTGCCTCACTACTCAGTCTATTTTGAAATTAGTTGCTTGTGAAGGCCTTTTTGTGGAAGAGCAAGCTCCTGGAGTTTGCCTTCCAGCAAGAATTACTCTGAACTGATTTTGTAATATATATTCTTTTTCTTTTTCGTTTTTGTTTTTTTGTATTGGTAAAATATGCTTGTAATTACCATGTGTAAAGTTGTAGCACCCAAAAAACCTTAGAAAATTTTTGTGTTGTATAAACTGCAGTTGTATAATGCATGTGTAAGCCTGTTGTGTCCCTCTTTTTTCTTGCCAGATCTTTGTCCTTAATATTTTCTCTCAATCAGTTTAAGTGTTTCTCTCTCATTTTATCTTTCCTTTTTTTTTTCTTTGGTATCAGATCAGTGATCATAAAGATGGGTTGCTGGATAATATCCAAATTGATTACTTGAATTTGATCATTCTTATTAATGTGTTGCCACTTTCTTTTTTCGAGCCAACATGTTTTTGTAATTTTCTTTCCTGGGAAAATTTTGGAGGAACGGACTGTAGTGTTGTCATCTAAGGAGAAAGTTTAAGTTCTCTAAAATTCACTATATGTCTTTTGTTTTGCCAAAAAAGAGAAGATGTACAGTTCATTTTAACTGTTACAGATCAAAAAATTTCACGGGAGGTCTCAACAACTTGATCTATCAGTTCATTTAACAATTTTTCGAGAATTTGTAACCCACACTCTGTACCGATATCTTAAAAATCTTCAACTTCCCACAGTTTTCTGTATACCCAATTTGATTTCATCACGTCTCCTTCCGCCATTTCACAAATCTCACCACTCATCTCTGCACAGTTGTGTCTCCGGCAATCTTTTCTCCTCAATTCATGACATTGTCTGTCGATCGTCTTCCTTTTTTGAACATCTTTGGTTTAACTATCTGTTAATTTTAGAGAATACAAAGATTAAGGAATGATTGTGGTATCATCCCCTTATATATTAATAAAAATTAATAATTATAAGGGAGCCTAAGGCATAAAATAATTACAAATTCAACTAATAATATACTAATGATGTACTATTCTAAAACTCTCTCTCAAGCTAGTGCGAAGATATCTTTCATGCCCAACTTACCTAGGATGGCATGCAATGGCTTACTCCCAACTCCCTTGGTGAGGATGTCAGCAAGACTGAATCAGCAGACTGAAGGGGAGCTTATTTCTACAAGACCTTAGTAGGAAGACGATTAATAAGATAGACAACAGTGAGAACAACGTCGCCCCAGTAAGACTAAAGCACACTCATAGAAAAACACATGCACCGAGCCATGTCAAGAAGATAACGATTCTTGCATTCCGTCACTCCATTTTGTTGAGGGGTATTAATACAAGAGGTCTAATGGATAATGCCATGGGTAGAAAAATATTACCCTTACTCAGAATTTATGTATTCCCCTCCCCCCCCCAATTATCAGAACGAAAGATTTTGACAGTGGCCCCAAACTGAATACAAATCATTTTATGAAAATTACAGAACACAGAGAAAACCTCACTCGTCTTTCATGAGATACACCTAAGCAGTACGAGAAAAATCATCGATAAATGTAACAAACCATTGATGACCTTTCACAGACATAACACGAGATAGACCCCAGACATCAGAATGTATTAATGAAAAAAGAATTAAACTTTTATTAAAATGGGGAGCAAAAGAAGCTCTGTGTTGTTTTCCAAGTTAACAAGACTCACAAAGAAACTTAGACATATTATGTTTGCAAAAACATATGGAAATAAATGCTTAAGTAAATAAAAATAAGGGTGCCCAAGACGCCGATGCCATAGTCATAAATCATCTTGGGTAGTAGGACTTTTGGTAGAAGAATGAGCAAGCTTGTCCGGTTGATCCAGGAAGTAGAGACTATTTTCTGTACTTTCACTACCAATCGTCCTCCTCGTGACAAGGTCCTAAAAAAGACAATAATCAGGAAAAAAAATCACACTACAATCCAAATTCTTTGTAAGACGACTCAAAGATAACAGGTTAATAGAAAAATTGAGAACATAGAGAATAGAAGATAGAAGTATAGTAAGAGTGACATGGACGAAACCTTTCCCAGAAATGGAAGAAACAATACCATTTGCAATCCTAACTTTGTCCTGACCTGAAAAGGGCTTATAGGTAAAGAAAATATTAGAAGATCCAGACATATGATCTAAGGCACCAGAATCAATAATCCAGGGCAAAGACTTATGAGATAGGAAACCACGAGGAGAAGAGGCTAAGTTACTTGAGCGGGCAAACGACGAGGAAGATGTATTGGGAGCAATAGAAGATCGGTGGTCCAGCAAGTGACGCAGAACATCCTCAAGCTCATGAGTAGTCATGTTAGAGAGACCATAAGATGCTTGGCCAACGGAAGCGGAAGTAGAATTAAGTGTATCAACGACACTAGACTGATAAACCTGTGGATGGGAGCCACGTCCTCTAGACTGGCCTGACCAACCTCTTCTAGAACCAGACCGATCACCTCGACTCCTGGATGGAGTCCCATGAAGCTTCCAACATGTTTCACGAGTATGTCGCGGCTTGCGACAGTAATCATAGAAGACAGACTCCTTGGCAGTAGACTGAGGGATGGGAGTCAGACTGAGGCCATCTCTAGGGGTAGACAGTAATGTTGAGCTGTTAGTAAAAACAGGTGACATTATAGCAGACCGGCGACTCTCCTCATTCTGTACATAAGCGAATGCCTCCTGAAGTGAAGGAAGGAGTGTCCATATCCAGAACCCGACTCCGAACCCGATTATACTCCACAATGAGACCGGCTAAAAACTTGAAGACCCTTTCCTGTGCAATGAACTTCCTATACTAGACTGAATCAGCAGTGCAAACAGGTTTATAGTCCTGCAGGTGATCAAGACGTTTCCAGCCGTTGGTGAGGAAGGTAAAGTACTGAAGAACAGTCTACTCCCCCTTAATAGAGCTCTCAATAGAGTTGCGCAACTCAAATGCTTGTGAGAAATTTCCTTTACGGGAATAAGTAGTAGCCATTACCTCCAAAATATCTTATGCAATGTCCATAGATAGCTAGCCCTCTCCAATCTCCAGGGCCATAAAATGTATCAACCAACCCATAATCAGGGAGTTGATGATCTCCCATTGATCATAACCTTGGTCTGTGGTGCTGGGTGCCTGTATCCTGCCATCAACATATCATCTTTTCTTTGCTCTTAAAAAAATATTCAAACTCTACGACCACACTAGATAGTTCTGACCATTGAATAAAGAGGTAGTGATTTTAAGACTAGGGTTGAGGTTATCAGTCATAGTAGTAGGTATAATGAAACTCTCACTCTTAGGTGTCTGAGAAATAGTGGACCTACTGGTGGAATCTGCCATGGATACTATATTACCTAACTCTCAACAAAAACTACTGTCAATTACAAACCCAAAAGATGGTCGGGAAATAGTAAGCACAAAGACCACTAAGAATATTAAAGAATTAAACACTTATAATATGGGTATGGCTTTTGTCCAGTCCGATGGACCGTGCTGTTGGGCCCGTAGGGGCCCACCACAGGTCCCGTTTTGATAATTTGAACCGTTCAATGTGTAAAACTCGTCGAGTACTATATGCCTGTAAAAAATCACGTTGATCGGATATCGATAGCTATATCATCAAATCAGTTTCGTATTAAAAAAATTAGACGGTGAACAAATTAACAGTTTGACAAAAAACTATTTTGATCACATAGGTATCGATATCCGATCAATGTGATTTTTTACAAATACATAGTACTCGACGATTTTCACACATTGAACGGTTCAGATTACCAAAACGGGACCCGTGATAGACCCCTACGAGCCCAATAGCACAGTCCGGGATCGGACTGGACAGAAGCCATACCCTTATAATATATATATATATATATATTTAAAAGAAGAAACGAATAACCAAAGGACTATTCAATACCTCATGACTAAGGTAATAACACGAGGATCGGACGACAAGACAGATAAGAAGACGAAAGTAGAGGAATACCAGAGGCTATCAGCGATAGACGACAAGCAAACGAAAGATGAAAGACAACAATAGACGATAGACCAGAGGCTATTGGCGATACCAGAGGCCGTCGCATGAAGCCAAATGAGGCATAGGGTTGTATGCTGGGTTAACAGAACTGTCAGAGGCAGTCGGCCATGCAAGACTCACCTACACCAGTTGTCGACTAAGCCAACGAGAGAATGATGGACATTCGGTGATGATTCCAACCAACCCAGGTGATATTCGAACCCTAGGATTATCTTTAGTGAGGTGGTGGTCACTGGCTGTTGACTGGTGGCTCCGATGGGAACATGAACTGTATGGGTAGATGGGTTTTAGGATTAGGCTGTGATACAATGTTAATTTTAAGGAATACAAAGATTAGAGAATAATTGTGGGATTATCCCCTTTTTATATTAATAAAGATTAATAATTACAAGGGAGTCCTGAGGTATAGAATAATTACCAACCCAACTAATAATATACTCTTCTAATACTATTCGGTTTACATGGAGCTGAGTGCCGATAATTTTCGAGTTCTACTGATAACTTCCTTCTTGAATTTACCTTATCTATTTCATTTTTTTTTCAAAAACAAAAAAGAACAACTTTAGAATAAAAAAACTTAAAACAGGTACATCTTATTATGATATACTGTTAAAGGAAATTAAACTACACTGATGAACAGAATTGAGAAAACAAACAGAATTGATCAACAATGGATTCACCAAAGTTGAGAACAGATATCGGGCTTGAATTCTCCGAGTTGCATTCTGTTTCAACCTTCTCTTTCTTCTCTCTCGTCTGTATCCCTCCATTAAAGTTTTCTTCCATGGCAATGTGAATTCTGTCAACATTTGCTCATGGGACGAAGAATTTTACTGTCACTGACAACCTTTTGAATGGTTTATGATTGATCCTCTCATTAGGCTCTTGGTTTTCTTTGTCCATCTCTTCAGGATCACACTTTTTTTTGCATCTCTGCTTTTCTTCACTTCAATTTTCCCAAACCAGTGTCAGATCTACTAGATCTTAATCCAAATTCCTTGTTATCCTCTACATTCTCAAAGCTAAGAACAAAGAACTCCTCATGTTCCAAGAATGTCGGCATTTCGCGAAAAGACAATGAGCTGTTGAAACGCCAATGCTGATTCCCCTGTTTTGCCTCACTCTCTCTCTAAGAATCAAAATTCAAAGATCGGCTTCCTGAAATTGAATTGGGATTCATTTGGGTATTGGCTAAATCGATCTGGGGCGAGGATTCCAAACCCATTAGCC